TTGGGACAGGCTGGGCCCCAGCTCTGTCTGAGGCGCAGGTCTGGGAGGGCTGTGGAATTTGCATTTCTGACAAGTTCTGGGTGGCGTCGGCTGCTGGTCTAGCTCTTGCTCATCCACGACATCTGTGCCTTTCCCCGACTCGCTGGGGGTGTGATCTCCCAGCACCTACTGTGCGTTCCCAAGCCCGTTTATGTCCGCGGGACTGGTCACTGTAGCCAGGTGATTTAACTCAATACTGGAGCAGCCGATAAGACAGGAGGCCAAGCAAAGGGATTGCGCCATAAAATGTGGGCTGCATGCACCGGAAAGTCTCAAAGTACGCAGGTCGCAGGACACTTGCTGTACAATTCCGAGTGGTCAAGACCGTTGTAAAATGTCTCAATAATTGAAAATTTAAAAGCCAGCTAATCTACAAGGTTATGCACAACTGTGTTACATTCTATTTTTATGTAAAGAAGCTAAAAAATAAAAGCAGGTGCCAACATGTTAGCGGTGTAGCCGCCATAAGCTTCACACTCAAAATGTCTCCCACCGATATGGCCAGATACATACAAGTGTGTTTGCTTCATTTAAATATAAATTTAAGGTTTTCTAATATTTTCCCTGACTCCCTGCTTGAGCTGGATATTTTGATCAACTCTTCCGTCTTGGTCCCACTGAGGGGAAGCTCTTCCAGGGCCTCCACTCCCCAATCCTTCTGCTCGATGCTCATTCCCCACCCAGGTCCCAAGCTGGAAATTGGGGGTTCTGACCAGGATCCTTCAAGGTCCCGAGTGGTATCTTGATATTTAAAAAAGTGAATGCGGTGCTTTAAGTTGCATAAAAGCGCGTATTTTATAGACAGCTGCCATTTCTGAGTCACAGCCTACCCCTTCCTGTCCACAGAAGCAAACCTAAATCCTTGGCGTGCGGTTCAGGGCCCTCTCTCATCGCCACCTGCTCACGTTTCCCTTCATACCCCTGGCTTTTAAATTTTCAACTATTGAGACATTTTACAACGGTCTTGACCACTCGGAATTGTACAGCAAGTGTCCTGCGACCTGTGTGTTTTGAACCAAACACGAATCACCATTTTCTTATTATGCAACTTGTGCCTTTTTAATGAGGCTTTCTTCTGGCCTCCACCTGGAGACCTTCTACTGGTCCTGTCGACCCCAGGGCCCTGCTCCGGAGGCCCTCCCGCCTCCTCCTTGGTGTACATTTGACTGCACAGTAGTAGTGAAAGCTTCTTTATGGCAAAGGAACCAAACTGAACAGGTAAACTAGTCATATCATAGGAGGACTAACCTTCCAAATATATAAAGAGCGCCTAGAAATTAGTAAGGAACCCTCCCCGAACTCAATCAAAAGACAGGCACACGATGCGAACAGTTCACAGAAAAAGAAACACAA